CGGGAGCCCTAAGATGTCTTGCCATCTTTGCCGTTGACCTTCAGGTTGAACTGTGCCCAGAGGGCTTTATAAAAACTCCCCATGCGCTGGGAAACTACTTTGTAAGAGTGGTGCTCACGCATGTGCCCTGTTTAAATGAGCAAAAACTTCCCCGAGGACCCAGATATCCAATAGTCGTGCGAAATGATTTAAAATGAATAAAAAATTCTACAAATTATATTTTTTTCCCCGTAGCACACGGCTTAAATTTTGAGCTTTAATGCAGTACTCTTGATAACATTATTCTGATTATGATGTATTTTATTTGACAAAGAAAATGCCATCAAGAATCGAAAAAGGAACGTGGTGTTTCGGAAAGGTTGCTGCTTTACGAGATGGCGAGAGATTACGGAAACCTAAAATTACTCAGCGGCATGATGACAAAACTGGCAGGATTTTTATTTTTTTTAGAGCGAGCACCCAAAATCACGGTGAGATTTTGTGCGGTCAACATTTACTTTTACAAATGGGAAAAAAAAATAATTGTGTTTACATGCGTTAAACCTTACATGCGTATGAGCCACATGAGAATACTGGAAATGGTAAGGTGGCATTTCTTCATAGCATATCTTTAATTCTGTTCTGCATTCCTCGATTTTCATGACTATGTTTACGTGAAAAATACTTATTTGTCAACAAATAAACCGACTAAATCCACGCACTTTATAAAGCACTTAGGTGCATTTAGAGTCAATTTACTACTTGTGTTAAATCGTGCACATAATCATTACCGGCATGCTAATTTGTCACAGGAAATGTTTGTGGGGGAACATGAAATAAATGACACACATAAATATTCGACTGCAAAAGCAAAAACAAAGTGGGAGACAAACCGAACGGCAATTGCTTTCCCTTGAGTCGGTCGAGAGAACAGCATTTACCGTGTACGTATTTCACTAAAATTCTTTGAAAAAGCAGTGGCATATATATGTACTATATCTATTTTTAAGAGTTGAAAACAAGTTCTTTTGTGATTAAAATCTCTACTTTTCACATCGTATAGGAATGCGACCTTGCACTGAGTCAAAAGTATAATTTGTAACATTAAGTTTGGTTGCAAAAGAGAAGCGTGAAACCTGGATTTGCAACAACAACAAAAAAAGTAAGTTTTCCAATCTATTCATTCCGGTGCCATTTTGCAGGCGGAGAGATATTTTTTTTCATAAACTTACCGCCAGTAAAATGTGAGAATTTTCACGCTGTGCCCCGACATACGTGAAAGAATGTAACTACGCACAATGTGACATTGCAGCGGTGCCCTCATTAAATTCATAGCCCAATTCACAGATAAAGTAGTGGGAGTGAGTGTGCGCGTGCCACCATAATAACATGGTTTAATGATATTGCCTACTTTTGTGAGCTGCCCAGGGAAAGATTAGGCGTACGCATTGTACAATGTTCACACATATGATGAAATATATCGGGAAATAATCCTACATTTAACATTGTAATGGCAGTGCTAACACGCCATGTAAATAGCCTAAATTGTTAACATTAAATCAATCCGTTTGTGTTTTAACGCCCAAGGTGTTAATACATTTGCTCTGTCCATTTTCCTGTTTGTCGTTTAAGGTCACAATAACTTTCGTCAAGATGATCCAATAAAAAATTACTTTTAGCATAAAGTTGACTTATTACCAGGGACTTATTCGACAGATTAAACAGCCAGATTTACCACAAAAAAAAAGGTTTCCCAAACGTTTGCAATAAAAACGTTGCACTTAAACAAATAAGGCTTCTCAGCCAAGGCGATTACATCACACGCAATGTGTGCTCCTTGCTCCTCCACGATGACATTGCATGTGACGTCATGTCACGACATCACACGTGATTCAACTTGTGACGTCGTTTCATTGTGCTGCTCGTAACATTTACTCGTAGTCGTCGTCATTATTTATTACTTGATAGCGTGCCTTGTACAAGTTTGAGATAATTATCACTGATGATACGCTTACGAAGACGAGCGCATATTGGGAATGGTTCCAGAGCCGCATGGGTATGCGGCGATTTTTCATTCCTTGTTGAATCTACATTTGTTTTCTAGATTTTGTTGAGCTCCAATGCTTTTCTTTTGCAATGCTATGCCTCAGTATTTATGCAGTTCAGTCTGGGGTCATTTTCAAATGGGCGATTTCGGCAGCGAACAAATACCAAGCGATGCATGGCATCGCTTTTATAATTGTAGCACTCTGGTGAGAAATGCCACGGGGTCATCGGTGTCTACTCTAACCGCGTTTTTGTTGTTGTTGTTGCAACCATTACACGGTGGTGCCAACAGTGGCACGGTGAAATCCGTAGACACAAGCCGAGTGAGAAATGTGTTAAAGACTAAAGCCATATCGGATCACCCGACAGCGACATTACTCAGAAGTAATGTGAGAAATGCGGTTACCGACAATCGGTGTCACGGTGTGATGAATAACGTGCAAATGTTTTTTTTTTACAGCAATTTAATTAAAGGTTTGTGTGGTTTGTTGATTTTACAACAACGTTATGACACTGCATTAGCTAAAACACGCTTTCAGATGTCATGTTTCAATTTAACCAAACTATATGTGCTTTTTTTAAACGGTGACAACATATAATCACATTTGAAGCTAACTATCCTGAAAAATGAATCGTGTTTCCAGAGTTTTTAGCTTCGAAATTTTGAGAAGAAAATGCTAAAAAATGTGCATCAGTTTTTTTTTTATCGGACGAAACGTATTATTGTATGAGTGTGTATCACTAAACTAAAGGACAAAATACAAATACAGTGAAACCTTGGATTGCGAGCATAATTCGTTCCAAAGCACTCGTATATCAAAGCGAATTTCCCCATAAGAAATAATGGAAACTCAAGATGATTCGATCCACAACCCAAAAATACTTTAATCATATAAAAAATATTAATACAAAATACCTTTTTATGTTTTTATTATTTAAATTTAATATAAAGTAATCAAATTTATTAATTACATTTAATCGTGGCTGGTGTGAGGGAGACGAGAGAGGAGAGGAGGGTTATTGTCTAGGACGACTTTCACTTGCAGTACAGTTACTGAAGAACAGTCACTACACTTGGACACAAAATAAAACAAATTATTTACGCACACACACGTGGTCACAACACTGTAGTAAACAGTATACACGTGGTCACAACACTATAGTACTGTAGTAACCAGTATACACTTGGTCACAACACTATAGTACTATAGTAAACAGTATACGATCCCACGTGTGTTGACTATACGAGTGAGGCACGCCGACTGAGACCGAGCATGGGAGACGATTACCCACAATCCCGCAGCGAGAGAGAGAGAGAAGAACCATTGTCTCAGTTGTGATCACGTGACGCTCGGCAGACAAAGCGTATTACTGCACGTACTGCTCGTATTTCAAGACATCGCTCGTTGATCAAATTATTATTTATTTTAAAAAATTTGCTCGTCTTGCAAAACACTCGCAGACGAAGTTACTCGCAATCCAAGGTTTCATTGTACATGAAATGAACGTGTTTTATACCAAGAGGTGCCACACGCTGCAATACGGCTCTGAGGCCCACGTAGGTTTGTAGCAGGCAACTGTGTGAGCACCTTGACTGTCCGCCCGTCTACAAACAGAGTGCCCCGGCATTTAAAGGCGTTGACATTGTTGAGCAGTCAGCCCGTTTACCACTTCTTGCAGACGTTCACGGTTCGCGCCCAGCGGACGACCCGGTTAACACCGCGGGTGATTGAATCCAACATACGCAGGCTCGTACTCCACAGTAGCCTTTGCTACTCCTCAACCACCTCTGTGTTTACAATTATAGTTGTTGCCCTACATCGACGGTGATAACAAACGAAGAAGAATCCCGTGATGTTATTCGTTAAAGAGTAGGCCACGTGTGCCATCGTCATGACCCAAATTTGAAAAATTACCAGAAAATGACATTATTGTCAAATATTTAGTGCCTCCACGGAAGAAATGACACGGATACCAAAATGTAAAACATTTACATTCATAGCGTGGCACCCAAGCTATGGAACGCCTTGTCACTTGAAATCAGGCAATCGGAATCGGTAGATATATTGAAAACTGCTTTGCAAGTCCACTTCTTTAAAGTGGCCTTCCCTCTTTAGTTTGGTAGATTGCCCTGGTTCTGGCTTTGTTTCCTGCGTTTCATGAATTGCGCATTGGGATCCTCGGATGGAATTCGCATTATAAATGAGATGTATGATTTGTAACTGTAGTCAACTATTACTTTCCCGGTTGATTTCAATCCATGCATTAGGATAGTTCTGGGTATTGAAAGCAGTGTGACACCTGGGAGATGCGGATGGCAGGATATGCGTGGACTACTGGACGTCACATTCACCACTCAACCAGTCTGCACTTTGAGGTACACAGCTCATCCGTAATGTATAGGTTGCGTTAAGAAGAGTGGCTTTTAGAACCCTCCTGTGTGACGAGCGTCCCCTCTTTGTGCTGTTGCCATGGTTAAAAACAGGGGTCGAAATAAACCAAATGGAACTAATGTATCCCACCATTTATACACGCTCAGCTTTATAATGGAAGATAAACATTGTGACTAAAAAAAAAATAGGGACATTCAATACCATAGAAACTGGATATGAAAATAGATTTTTTATAAGCAGAGGTCTTGTATTTATGTCCTGTGATATTTACACCTGCAAACTCCCTTGAGATCAAATATCTAATTTGCAAGTTAATACACGGTGTCATTAGACACACAGCAACCTAATTAAGTTAGAAACATTTTCATGGGAGTTTTGAACCTACATCATCGACGTCAGAGTTCCGATATAAACAAACCATCCCCACTCTGCAGCGGTGGAAGGAAGGCAAAGGGTAACTTCTGATGCAAGCACGCATGGCGTTATTCCAAGTGGGGCGTGCTTATATGCAGCTTATACTTTGTAGAAAATCGTAAAACTTAGTAAACAATTATACAATGAACTTAAGTTGGAGCGGTGTACCTGACAGGACCGTGAAGACCGCTGCGAAGGCGTTGAGCTTAAGCCCCTCGATGATGTTGGTAGATCGACAGCGTTCCAGGCACATGAGAGCAAATCCCACAGTGAGCAGGATCAGGTACAGCGATTCTGACACCATCGACAGAAGGAGGACTCCTGCAAGACAGATCCCACACGAGTGCAATGCCTCAACCGCCAAGCGTGCAACGCGTGCACGGGGCATGAGGCTCACGCAGTACACTTTGACGTGCCATTCAATTGACAGGAGAATATTAAGCGTATCAATGTCGTGCCCAATAACGGCGTCGTTTTGTTATGCTCTACATTTGGATCAGATCTCAGGGCGCACGGTCAATTGGCAGAATATAACGGTGCGGACACCTGTGAACACACGCCACGCGGCATACACTCGACAGCACCGCGTAACGTAAAACATCACATCACAATCGCGTCGCAAGCACAACCTCGAACGGACAAAGGTGCATTTGGTTCCCTGCTGCGTGTTTCGGGTTGTTCCCCGCTCTGGGAGCTGAGCAAGCTGACCGAAGCTCCCCAGCACGTGGAGGGAGGGCTACGTCGGGCGTCGTAGAGGAGGACAGCGCGCGCTGCTACTCGCAATCGCGTTGGAGGGAGAGTGAATAATTAATCAAGATTTTGTTCCAGTGACCTGGCCACTTCGTAGCTGATGCGGTACGCGCACAGTGAGATTTGTTTTGCAAATAATTTGCCGCCAATTTTATGATGATGTCTCAATTGCCACATCAGGAGCTTACGCAAGCGTGTGTGGTTTTTTTTTGTTCAAGGATGTAAGCACTTTTTAAAGGGTTGCAGTTTTATGAGAGCACTTGTGTGCAGCAGTCTTGTGCTCGTGGCCGAACACGAATGCCCTGCTGCTAAAAGCTGTGAAGCTATCTCTGAATATGGCGTTTCATTTAATGTTGCAGGCCATTACAAAGCTCTGTACGAGCACAGTTACTGCCAGTTCACATCACAGTCCAGCAAAGCTCGTGCCAAGAAAACAATCCGTAATTTAAAGATGCGGCGACAAGCGCTAAAAACTGTGAATGCACTATAACGGGAACCTTACGTAGCAAGATTCCCAGCGTGAAATCACTTAGGGCGCCCGTGGAATACACATACAGTGTGCTTTAGCTGATGTTTCACGTGACAGCAGTCACAGGGCACAGCACACAAATCCTGTGTTCACGTGCCCCGGCCACATGCACACTCAAGAGGCTTGTTAAACGTATCATAGCAGCGCATGGTCGTCTTTGAAATGCCGTATAATAAAAAAAAAATACCCACACGCATTAGTACACGAGATTAAAACATTGTTTTCGCCATCATCATCATGATACATAAGCCGTAGTCAATACACCGCTGGATGAAGGACCGCACAAGCTGTCGCCACCTCGCGTGATCCCGCGAGGTGGTGGAATGATCCACCCAGCACTTCCACGCAGACTGATTTCATACATTCCTACTCGATTTTAAATTAGCGCTATGTTACAAAAAGGCGTACGACAATGTTTATCATATATAATTAATGAATGCCGCGGTAATAGTCATAACACATAAATCACACTGCATTTTAAAATTACTCGACAAGATATCGTGGTCTGGTTGATATAAGCTATTTCACCGTATTATAATTTATCACCATTTTCTTTCCTTCCTGCAAATAAATTACAGGTCTCGCTCAAGGCCCTCCGGCTGAAACTATTCATAAATCTCGCCGCATTCAACCTAAAAAGAGACACGTACAGATTTGGTAGGGGGAGCTAAATAATTGCAAAAGACAATATTGAAGTTGATCTGTTAAAGCAAGTTCCGTCTCGCCCTAGGGATGGTTTTTACAACGCAGAACGCGTTGGGGCTGATTTGCCACTGCAGGAGGTTATGTTTTATTTGCTTTGTCTTTCTCAAAAATTAAAACGCTAGGGTAGCAAGTGGACGGATTAGAGGTGTCATGCAGTCGGTGTCGGCAGGTGGGCAAAGTGTTATGATTTTGATGACATACTTTGCACTCGTACGATTTTGGGCCCCTGTTGTTTCTGTGAATTTTAAAATACATTTCACTCATCCGATTTAGCTCTCGTGAGTCTAATTGATTTCATGCGAACGTTGTTGGCTGTCCCTTGGCAAAGTTCCGGTCATTACTTTTCATATTTATGGGGGGGGGGTGGGGGGCGGGGAGATCCCTTAAAGAAATGTATTTACGTATAAAAAAATATATATAAACAAAGTATATTGACCTGGTGGACTAATGCTGTTTGAGCCTTCCGCATGACAAATGACGTATTATAGTGGTGAGCGCAGCAGGTACACAGTGGGAGGATTAATAACCTCTGTTCCGCTTGGCAAGGTGCGTAATGCTATTCCCTGCAAGGCAAGGGCTGCCATTGCAAGTCTGTTTTTGGTAAAACTGCTGAATGGAGGTCTCCTTTGTCGAAAAAAAATGACCTCTACAAGATTATCACTTCATATTAATGCATTAGAATGCACTTGATCACCTATGTTGTTTATACTCTTTGGTTCTATTGGGTAAAGTCACGTAGGTGAAAATAAAATAGCAAAAAATCACGACGTTTCGGCCACAACACAAGCGGCCTTCATCAGGTGAAGGGACGAGACTATCTGGAGGACAGCGCTGTCCTTCACCTGATGAAGGCCGCTTGTGTTGTGGCCGAAACGTCGTGATTTTTTGTTATTTTATTTTCACCTACGTGACTTTACCCAATAGAACCAAAGAGCATGGATCCTAGCAGTCACGAAAGCTTTAAATCTATGTTGTTTATATTAGGTTTTGCTGTTAAGTTTGCTTATGATTGTATTTGGGTGGTGAAAAATATCATTATAACAGTGAAACTTGGCGTCTGCGTGTCAAATCAAAGGTTAATTAATGAGCAGAAGAATCTATCTTCCACTTGGATGTGGGAAATACCTTAATTTAAAAAGTTATATATTTTACCTTGCAGCATGATCCCGTATGATATACTGTTACTTCTTATGCTGAATCAATAATCTTGCTGCAAAACTAAAAACCGACTGAATGAATGCCACTCTCTGGATCACATCGTTTGCTGTCGGTGTTTATCCTTGGCTATGAGTGGGTGCGTGGACCTTTATAACTGGGCATTGTTGAATTGTGCCAAGATGCCTGTTTTTGCAATTGATGTTTTGGGGTTGTTATTGGTGACTTGGCCCAGGCTGCCACGCTGCTACGTAAAACAACATTTTATTCATCGCTAAAACTTAGTAGGCATTAACACGTGTCAAAGTCCACAATATCAGCCAGAAGTTGTAAAAATCCATTTAGTTTTTGAGGGTGCCTATCATTTATTCTCGCAGACAATCCAAGCCATATAATTTCTTCGGTATGAAAAAAAACGAATGCCTTCAATCGCCAAAATGTTGGAACATGCTTCTGTGAAAGATAGTTTTTAAAAATGTTTATACGGATTGCAGGGATATGTCACACAGAGAGACTGAATTTAAATCGGTTAATACTTCAATGCGCTTTGTAGTGTATATTAAAGGGTCAGTCGAGTCAACCACTAGTCTACAATGGCTGCTTCACATCGTCTGTTCAGTTCAGACTGAGCCCATTTTGCCACAACATCCTGCATGTGAAGATTAATGGTAACTCTGAAAAAACCTTTGGAGATGTTACACAATTAGCTATTCAGTAACCTGCATAAAAAAATGTCGCTCGTTTTCTTGAATTTTTAAATAACTTTAAAGCTATTTTGTGTTAATAAAACAATTGTTAATACCATTCACACGTCAAAGCAAAGAATAATTTAAACGGTGGAAGCGTTAAGGGAAATAATTAAGCCTACCTTTCTCTGATGCTGGAGCCAAATCTATAAAGCTCCGACACTTTTCGCCTGCGGAAGAGAAAATAAAACGTATTTATCAGGAGTCGGGAAGGACAGAGCATCAGGCCAAGTCCATTTCCAATGGAAAAGCTGTCATCACCATCCAGCTGAGAAATCAATCACGAATCGATAAGGTGTAACACCTACAGCAGCGACTGCAGTGCGGTCAACTGACAAGGCCCACTCTTAGACTCTGACAAAGCGTATACGCAAAGTGAGGTGCATTTGAAAACAAAGTGAGGTGCATTTAAAAACAAAGTGCTTACTTAAAAATCCTGTGCACGCACACATACACGCACACACTTCACATTTACATGGCACAGTCGCATGAAATTGCTTTTTTTAATGATAATATTCACTATTTATAAATAGTCTTATTATTATTGCACCAAAATAAGCCATGGTTAAATTGGTCACCATAGGGAACATTTTCAAGCTGCGCAGAGGTGACGTTGAATATATAAATCGTCGGTTCATAAAATATTTTCCCGAAATTATAACAATACACAGTTGTTAATTTTTGTTTACAAACATCTTGTAAAAGAAAGTTAAATATATTGTATCCGGCGACAATGCTCTTAATGTCCTTTCTTAGCCAAAAGCAACATTCATTCTGTGGATACACAATATGTGACTCTACCACTGTATTTCGTCAAACATGTTTTATGGATAATGCCTTTATTTCTATGCTTGACCTTATTCCCAAAATAGCAATGCATAAATCCATTTCCTACCAATGCTGAGAAATGAATTTGTTTTTCACTTCATTCATCTTTGAAACCCATCATACTGCACCTGACAACATCTTGAGTGATAGTTCATTATACAAGGCAATTACCGCACTGAATATGGAAACAGTCACTGCAACTCTGTTATCTGTGTCTTTTTATGTTATAATAAGTCGGTGATAATAAGTACATAGATAATTTACGAAACGGCCTCTCTTTAAAAGGAGAGCCCAAATAATAGATTGTTAAAAAAATATAAATATAGATTTTATTTAATCGTGGACTCCCTTCACTCTGTTGATGAATGACTGCGATGGCATCTTTTTCCGTTTCTATTTCCTGTCGCTTTAATTGAAATCCGCTCTGATGTTGGCGTCAGCCAAATGAGCAGCAGTGTCCCTTCCCACTTTAAAACATGCAAAGGAAATGGCAAAAAGACTGCAGAGCGTTGGAAAGTACAATAACACGCAGTCGGAGACGCGAACACATTCTGATCGTTTTTGTTGTTGATGATCATTATGATTCAGAGCCCTCGGAAATGCTATCTTGCCAAATGCCAATTTCATTGCATTGGAAAGTGTGCAGCAATACCTTTTTGGTTTTCAGGGATATAAGCGGATGGTAATAGGTAGCTTTAACTACCCAACAAGTAGATAGAAGCGTGATAGCGAGAAAAAATGGATTAAAGCTATTCATCAAACTCACTATCATTTTATGAAAAAAGAAACAAGATCACATATCTTTTTAGTTTGAACAATGTTCTGCAGACTTTATCAAAATGGAAATTTCGAAGCAAACTAAATGCATATATTAAAACATCCCACATTAATCATTAAATTATAGAAATATGAGGTGTGCAATGGTGTGTTGTTGTTCATGTCAACAAATCAACTCTTGTATGCACAGAAAGTGAAACACCTGGATTAGCATATCCGCTGAGCGCGGTTGGCTACGTATGGTGCGAAAGAAGTTCAACATACATGTGTAGTGGGTTCACTTAAGAGATACACACATTCAGGAGGCAACACGTTTATTCTACGCCCACAACAGGATAGCTACATAACCGGTAACCACCACGGGATAACTACATAACCGGTAACCACCACGGGATAACTACATAACCGGTAACCACCACGGGGTAACTACATAACCGGTAACCACCACGGGGTAACTATGTAAACGAGTCAGGTCAGTCGGCACACTGCCTGACCCACGATGCCGAGCATGAAGACCGGAGGCCGAGAAGAAGACGCATCAGGGCGGGTTCCATTCCAGCAGACAGCCCCGATGGGACCTCCCTTTATTGCCCCCAAGCGTGGCCTGGCTCTGCCCTCGGACACGCCCCCTTCTGGAACTCCCCAGAAGATTCTGGGCCATACACCACATGTCTCTTCTGTTACCTTTGACCCACATTCTTACCCTGTCCTGTCACGTGCCCTTGCCAGCCAATCGGGCTACTACGTCCTCAAATGCCCCCTACTCTGCCCGCCCCCAGAACCATGCTCCCATATAGACCTCTTTCATGACACCGTGTACTCTGCTGGCAGAGGGCTACAACACACGCAATTCCTCTCTCTGTCAGTAGATGGCGCTAGGCGCCGTACTGACCCATTATATGTCACTACACGTGCATGGAGAACATATGCGAGACAGCATATTCACTGTTAGGAAAATTAAGTGTGCTTGGGACGAGATGTGTGTCACTTAAAAAGGATGATGGCTGTGGTGATGGAGTGGCAGCCCAGGGAAGGAACATGTGCCCCAACAGGATATCCACTGTGTAGATTGAGTGACGAGATCACCTCGTTTCAGGAGGTAGATGGAGCGTTGCATCACGGGATCTTGAGAGGATTGGCGATGGCTTTGGAAGGCCTTTATCCAACAATGGCCGATGTTGACAATTACATATTACCAAGTGTAAATGTGTTTGCTTCAAGTAATTTAACAGGTCGCATGCAGTAAATACATTACTTTAAAATCCTAGTAATGTTATTGTCTCAAATGTTTTTTAATCACTCTGTGTAGCATCTCATTAGTTTGTGAGACACTGCTATTCTCAGCATGCCTAATGTTCACTCAATGGATCTTGGATATAAACAGACTTGAACCCATTTGCTGAAGTATATATATTTAATGTGATTCCCATTATCTGTAACAGAATCTTCAGCATTCTGTGAATTTCGTTAATAGGCACAATTAAGAATTTTAGCCTACTCTAACTTTCTTACTAATTACCCCATTCCATTAGTGTAGTTGTGTTTCAAGCGATTAATGGGTGTGAACTATTAATGTATGGGTTAGGGGATGATTGAGATTGTTAAACAATAGGCAAATGATTAAATGTTTTAATGTTGAGAAAAAATATTTGTCAAATCTCTTGCAATTCTTAATGAAATTAATAGGACTTGTAAAATTACTCCTTTCGGCGAATGCAAAGCAACCGTTGCCAATTGAACAAAATAGTAACTAAGGATTTAAGGCATTCAAATGCAAATCAGAGCAGTTGCAGTGATGTTTTGTTTTTGGTAATTGCAGAGTTAAGGATGCTGCTGCCATGGTGTGATGAAAAGCGACAGTGGATTTGCAAACCACAGCAAACGACGGTGCACGTTTCTTAACCCCCCCCCCAACCCCCACATTTCCCAACAGCCCCTGACCCATGTCTAGCCAGGAGTATGCGTGGGTACACCAGCTTGCTCGGTCGACAGGTCGCGTGTCGCAGGATCAAGTGTCGTTATTCACAGATATTCGAAGAATGTCTGTTCGGCGTGGTGGAAGAGTAGGCCAAAATACCCTCCTTGGGGGGAGGGGGGGGGCGCTCTCTGGAACTCCCTCGAGTGGAGGCCCTTCCGCCAACAGTGGCGCGAGTAATTGCAGGGTCGCACCGTTATCGTCGCCGACACTCAAGGTATCTGCACTCCAATTCCCGGCCGTCAACATTTTCTCGTGCTGCCAACAATGACTCTGCCCGGGCTACTTTGTGAAGAGCAAGGTGACATATTTGACATTTTTTTTTTAATAACTAAAAACTCTATTAATGATAAAGAACACCGCCTTCATTATAAGTAGGACAAATACATGTGCATCTAAGCCAGCTTGAATCTGATAATATTTTTAACGCAGTACAATGAATACAAAGTAATTTGGTCGTTGACTAATGACAAATGTTGGATGCTGGTGGCGCTCATATGAAGTGCTTTTTATTGGAGAAAACATTTTGTTCTTTGTACCTAATGATGAATCAACGTTTCTGGAACAACATTTCTACCCACGTGGCACATACTTTTCCGTGCGCAATAATGATGGAGGATTATCAAGACAACGTTTAATGCATTCTGAATAATACATTCGGTCACACACACTCGCCAAACAGCCTTTTCATTTTAATTATTGATGCCGGTGAAAAGTTAACTAAATATTTACACATTTTCAGTAGTTTCCGTGTGAATAAAAGTACACTCCTGTTCACATCCTATACCCTAACAACAACAAAAATTGATGCTCTTCCCAAACTAGAAGCTAGTATAAATGGCAATACCTTGAAACGTTAATCAATGATATCGCAGAAAATCAAGAATGTAACTGATCTCATCAGATCTCAGAAGCTAAGCAGGATGGCACCTACATAGTTCCTGTTGTAGGTGGTCTCCACGCGCATAAGACAAACGTGATTGGTGCTGTGGGCAGTACAGGTCAGTACAGCAACATCCATATTGGTTCTGCACTCGCTGGCCTGTCCCCCCTCAAACCCACACTGACCAGCGTGGTAAAGTCTGATCAAATATTTATCACGGCCAGCAAAGCATCAGGAGGTCCTCAACCCAGCAGTCGAGCGACAACGTGGGCTGACGCACACAAACGTGTGAACATTCAGAATATTACTTGAGTTCAGGTTTTCCTTTTTTTTGCCTCCCTTGTTATCGTGCTTACAAGGCAAACACCATATTACTTGTATCGACAAGCAGACATTGGCCTTTAAAACTAATAATCGTGGAATAACTATAAATGGGGTTGACGAGTAATTTTAGTGTGCACGTCAGCTGAAAGGATTTTTTTCAATAATTATTATCAGATTGCTTCATGCTTCTTTATTAAATTAACATTGATTTTGCCAATATTTATTGTACATGGTCTAATTATAGGGGAGTGAAATGATCCTTTAAGACCTCTTAAAGTCCATTATACTTTATGTAATTACAATTGAAGTGGAGATTAATTTTGAAACAACAAAAAATCACTTTCCTCTCTGCCTGAGCAGCAACGCAGGATGCAATTTATTTT